AGATTGGCAGCGCCACATTTGCCACCCACTGGGGTATATAGGTCAGGCATGCTCCCACTTGATAGATCCATCAATCAACTCACCTTTGTTTAACATTTTCTACTCTCAACATACATAGACACAAATTGAAAAACATCTTCTCACAATGCGACTAGGCTATTGCTCTTCGTTACAAGCTTTACATATTCCCGAACTTACTATAGACGCTTCTAGTCGGACCTTGAACAGCTTAGCCCGGACTTGAGCAACTTTCTAAAGAAGTAGTTATTGCGCCTCGAGCGCGACAGCTTCTTCACTAGTGCTCTTGTCGCTGTTCGTGACGGCTGGGCCCAATGAGAGATATATAAGACAAACCATTGAACCCGTGCATTCGCATTCCGTTTTCATCTTCCCTACATTGCAAGAGCCTACTACAAACTCCGCCAAGCCGAGAGCTCCCACTTTCACTCGCGGGTCGAATCCATCACCACAATGAGAGTTTCTACCATATTAGGAGGGCTGTTCGTCGCCGTTGTCGTGAGAGCCACGCCACTCAATTTGCGAGAGGCAAGTTGACCTTGTGCTTTTCTTTGCAATTTCGCTTACACTGACTCAATCGCTCAAAAGACTGATTCGACATGCCTTCCCAAGGGAGCGCTTTGCAACACTGCTGATACCGGTGTACCAGGGTTTCCAGAGCCATGCTGTGAAGGGCTTACTTGTTACGGGGGCACTCTTCTTGTCAACATGTGTCAGAAGTTGCCCACAGACAACGCAAGCGATGAACGAGGATGAGGTCAGTTTAGGTCCAGAGATTTCCAGTGGCTTGACATGTTTCGTTTACTACGTTACGAGTGAAGCGCATGGCGCGGGAAGCTTCTGGTGAGGACAGAGGTGTGACTTTCTATAGAACTATATCCACACTCCTTGAGCGCAGCGGATAGTAAAAGATAAATGAGCACGTGACTTCAATGAGAATGTCTTGAGACATATTAGAAAGCTTGACAGGGGGACAAAATGAACGTGTAATTGAACAAGGTGATGAGTCCAGGGGGACACTTACAGCGCCGAGCTACTTGCGCAAGCCTGCGTCCATTCACGTGTGTGTTCTGCTCGGCAGTGGTTTGGGCATCGTTACTGAGCGTGCAGCTTGTTAGGCGGCTGAAAGGCTTTTCAATGCGCTAGGATTTGACAAGGTTTGAGCGGCAAGCAGATAGGTTCTAGCCGCCGTTTTTAGTGCGTCGCAAAAGGATCACCGACTGGTCGCGCAACCAGACGGCCTACATGCACCACTACACCGTGAAGTCTCGAGCAAAGATCGTCCAAATACGATCTGCGGGCGCAAAATCACGGACAAGGCGTTTCTTGTAGCGGCGCACAGGGACGGCACCGAAGCTGAGCCTGCGATTTTCGGCGCGGAGGCGGAGACTGAGGCGAGCTTTTTTCGAAATACCTTGTCAGGCTCCAGTAGCATGCATGTATCAATATTAGGTACTGTACTCTATGGCGAATGGGTTGTTTGCACTCTCCTTCCGCATGAGAGATATTTCTGCATTCTTGGCCTGCACTCCAACGTTGGTGGCGGGGGCGCAGCATCCACGAAGCAGTACAGTTTCGCAGCCTCAAATCGCCAGGCGCACCTCCTTCTCACGGCTACATTTCATTTACGTGCTCGTCCAAGGAAGCATCTTGTGGTGGCGTAAAGTCGACCGACTCGCCATTAGTCCACAATGAGCGCAGGACTACCTCTTCGAAAACGTGATCGGATGCGCGACTTTTTCCGCAAATCAAGCAATCCATCGAAACCCGCTCCGCAGTCCAGCTCAACACCTCCACCCCAGGCCACGCCAAATGCGGCCCGGCTCTCATTACCAGCACAAAACCCACAGCAACTAGGGCGTACACGTTTGGAGAAGGCGTTGCTGGCGCTCCCGCCGAAAGAGCGAGCGACAATTGAGACTGTTAAACAAAGGTGAGTTGATTGATGGATCTATCAAGTGGGAGCATGCCTGACCTATATACCCCAGTGGGTGGCAAATGTGGCGCTGCCAATC